GGCACCCACAGCAGGGGCTGGGCCAGACCCCATCCCCAGCCCGGTGCTCCTCTCGCCCGGCAGGCTCAGGGGGTGGTGAAGGACCTGGACGCYGACCTGCTGCAGCACCTGGCCCAGGGCACTGCTTTCCTGCAAGTCAGCACCAAAGCACACCCCAACGGGGAGATGCGGGGACGGGTAGGTTCCATCAGGGCAGGGCACCCCTACCCATCCCCATTGCTGCCTGGGGTCCCCAGCTGCGTGGCACTGCCCGGAGCAGGGTGGAAGGACACAAAATCAYTGTCACATGGTCCCAGCAGTACAGYGTGATGTGTTCTGTGGTCACGGATGGTTCCTTCACCAGCCCTGACCACGGAGGGCACCCAGGCAGCAGCATGGGAAGGGACCTCCTGCTCATTGCCCCCCTCCAGGTGCACATTCCCAACCAGTGCCACACGGGAGGGACCCGCCTGGCCCCAGGGGAGTCCCTGGGGGAGGCTGAGCTCTCCGAGAGCACCAAGACCAGGGACSTGGAGCAGCTGAAGAAGGACCCCAACTCCTGCTTCTTTGAGGGTCAGCACCGGGCCCACGGCACCCGCTGGGCRCCCGACTATGACAAGAAGTGCTCCATTTGCAGCTGCCAGGTGCGAGCCAGGGGATGTGCTGGAGGGGCAGCCCCCATCCATAATTCCCCCCTGTGATTAACCCCATCCCTGCTGTCCCCAGAAGCGCACAGTGATCTGCGACCCCATCCTGTGCCAGCCCCTCAACTGTACCCACCAGGTGCACCCCGAGGAGCTCTGCTGCCCCATCTGTAAAGGTACCTGTGGGATGGGGGGTCCTGGGCTGGGGGGTTCCCTGAGGAATCAAGGTGAGGGGCCCTCTTGGAGGCTTTGCTGCTGGCACCATGTGCACCCCCTCATGGTCTTCCTCTTCCTTGTAGAAAAGAAGACAGAGCAGGAAGAGCTGAAGCTGGAGCGGGCACGAGACAGTAGCGAGGGTAAGTCCTTGCAGGCACGGGCTGAGGGGACAGCTCTGCAAAGGCTGAGTCACAAGGCCTGTGACTTCCTCTTCTTCTTCCTCTCCCAGGCTGCTACTTTGACGGCGACAAGACGTGGCGAGGCTCTGGCACTCGCTGGCACCCYGTTGTGCCCCCCTTTGGCCTCATCAAATGTGCCATTTGTACCTGCAAGGTGSGTGTGGGTTCCAGACTTGCCCCTCCCGTCTGCTCTGGCACCTGTGGGTGCTCTCAGTTCCTGGGCAATGTGGCTGGGGCTCAAACCAGGGCACGGGGTGCTGAGTGCCCTGTGCCTCCCGTGAGCCCCGTGCTGTCCCTGCAGGGCACCACAGGTGAAGTGCACTGCGAGAAGGTGCAGTGCCCGCGGCTCACCTGTGCCAACCCCGTGCGCGCCAGCCCTTCTGACTGCTGCAAGCAATGCCCAGGTACCTGCACCCCTCTCGTGCCCTGCSTTCTCCCCGCATAGCCCCTGTGTGCCCCCACGGCCAACCCCCACTGCAGTCAGGCATCCTCCCAGAGCCTTTTCCTGCAGCCCCAGAGAGGAGCGTCCCGGAGCTGGCTGACTCCATGCAGGCGGACGCACCGCGGGCGTGTCGCTTTGGGCGCCGCTGGTACCTCAACAACGAGAGCTGGCACCCCTCTGTGCCCCCCTTCGGAGAAATGAAGTGTATCCTGTGCTGGTGTGTGGTGAGTGTGTCAGCCTGGGGCAGCACCAGGGCAAGGGAAGCGCCACTGTGCCATCCCCAGGGCTTTGAGAATGGGTGGGAGAGCAGCAACACGGACACTCTGCAGTCTGAGGAGCTGCTGCCCCTGGTGCCCCCCTGCCCTGGTGCCCCCCCGCCCTGGTGCCCCCAGCCCTGGTGCCCCCTGCCCTGGTGCTCAACCCCTCTTTCTGCTCCCCAGTCGGGAGAGACGCACTGCCAGCGTCAGGAGTGCCCCCCATCCGCTTGCGCCAGCCCCGCCACGAGGGACAACCCCTGCTGTGCCAAGTGCCGTGGTGAGTGTCGTGCTCACACGTGGCACCACTGCCCAAACGCTCTGTGACACCTCTCAGTCCCCTCGCTGCTGAGCCAGGGCTGGCACAACCACCCCAAGTACCCTCCTGGCACCCGCTGTGCCCGTCTCTCAGCCTCGCTTTTCCCCCCACAGCCCTGGATGCCCACTCGGATGCGCGGGAGAAGGTCCACGATGCCAAGGTGGAGTCACGGAGCCACTGAGCAGCGACTGCTGCCCCGAGCGGGGCAGGCACACGGCGACGCTGGGGGCATGGGGGGACCCCAATACCTATTGCCCCTGCCCGTGCAGGGCGGGGGGCACAGAGGAGCACAGTGGGGAGCGCAGGGCCAGGCCCCCAGCCTGGGCACCCCATCTCAGCACAACTGCAAGGCGAGGACTGCCCTACCCACTCATGCCAGTGGACAGTGGCCRGGCTCACGGAGGTTGGGGCACCCGCTGCCCTGCCCCTCCAAGCCCCCCTGGCCAGCGGGCACCATGCCCATGTTGTACATAGTGYAAAGTCCCTGTGGTCCCTGTTTGCTGCACCCAGCCTGTTTCAGTCGGGTTTTCTCACATAATTTATGGTGCCAGTGGACGGGGGTCAAGATGTATTTATTAAAACCAGAGCTATTGCCCACCTGGCTCCTGTCTCTTCCTAGCAGCAGCAGGCACAGGGCTGTGCCCCTGCACCCTGTGCTGGGCTCCAGGGGAGCAGGCCCTGGTGTTGGTGGGGTTGGGGATGTGTATCTGAGGATATGGGGTGTGGAAGCCACCAGGACACCACTACGGGCTGGGGGTGGCACTGGAGAGGAGCAGAGCAGTGCACAGAGCCCACAGCTGGAGCCATGAGGCCTCTGCCCATGAGGAGGCTACCAGCACAGCGCTTGGCAGTGGTGCCCACTGGCACAGGGACAGCAGGACTCTGCCACACCTCTGTGGTGGCACAAGGAGTCCAGCCAGGGGCCCCAGGCCAGCTGCCCGTGGAGGCCCCATCCTGCAGCACCCTCAGCCAGCCAAGTGCCCAGGGCTGGGCACAGACCCCATGGTGGTGCAGGGCAGACCTCTGGGTGTGCTCTGGGGCAGCACAACCCCAGTCRTCCCAGTACAGCTGCACTGGGCTGAGGCCTCGTGGGGCCCATGGGACACCCAGTGCTGCCACCTGCTCTTTGGTCCCTAATGGGTCGGACTGAGGGATTTCTGGGACCATCTGCACTGTGCTGGGATGCACTGGGATGACAGAGCTATACTGGGCTGTACTGGAACAGTGCCAGGGCTGTGGGGAAAGTAACACTGGGCTCTGCTGGGACAGCAGAAAGGCATGGCAGGACAATGCTGTAGTGGGACAGTGTCAGCCCGTGCTGGKGCTGCACCAAAGGTGACACTGGGCTGGACTGGAGCAGTGGTAGAGCAACAGAAGAATGGCACTGGGGCACACTGGGCTGGGTGTCCTGCCCTGTGCACACCATGGCCATGCAGGTGCTTGTGCCAGCAGGGTGGCATCACCTGTGGTGGCCTTGCAGTGTGCTGGCGGCCCACCAGGCACGCTGGTGGCAGTGGGCAGAGCATGTGTCCTGGCACAGGGCTTCCCCTCCGGATGAGTGTCCCTGCTGCCACGGGGCAGTGCCAGGAGCTGACGAGCAAGGAGGGAGCTCCGTGCCTGGGGATACAATGAGCGGGCAACCCATTTTGTCACCTCCCTGCCTCAAACCGGTTCATGTCGGGCAATAAACCCTCCCAGACTGGCGCAGGACGTATCCCAGCCCCCAGCCCAGCCATCATCACCCACTCTTGGGGGTACTGACGTCAAGCCAAGAGGGTGGTACCTGGGCAGTGAGAACTAGCCCGTTCCCGATCCCGCAGCACCAGCCCGGCAGTGCCACAGCTCTGCCTTTCCCTCCATCCCGTTCTTGCCATAAAGGTGCCATCCTGCGCCCTGGGGAGCAGGGTGAGCTTGGCCCTGCCAGCTGTCCCGGTGCCCCTGAGCCCGCGGCAGCGGTGAGACGGTGGTCCCGGCAGCCAACCTGCCATGCTGGAGCTCCTTGCCCGAGGATTGCCGGTGCCAAGCGCTACTCGAGTGTCTCTCTGGAGAGGACTGAGCCTCTACTGCCCAGCACGTTCAGCGACAAAGAGTGGAGCCCATCTCCCTCCCTGGGRGCTGACAGTGCCGGGATACTGAGCAGCATCACGGTAAGGATGATCTCTCTGTCAGCTTTGGGATGGTGAGTCCCAACTATGCCAAGGTGCCCTGCCCTCCTTGGGCATCAACAGGTGCCCCCGTGCCCTTCATGCCAAGACAGACCTCAGATGCTCTGTCCCCATCAATCTGTCCCCCAGCCAGGCATAGCCATGAGCCTGGGGATGACCATCTCCGGAGCCCCGGCACGGTGTTCCCACATCCCACTGGGGAAAACCCCACAGGGAAGCAGCGCTCMGCCCCACGCCAGCCCCCTGAACCTGTGGGAAGAGGGAGCAATGTGTCCCAGGGGAAAGATGGTCCTTGGTCACCCCACACCAGCTTCTACTCTCACCTGAACCCACTGGTTGCCCACGGGTGCCATGCTGGGCAAAGCCCAGGGCSGAAGGGCCCCGCCGCAGGACAGAGCTCCCGGCCGGGCATCCCCTGCGTGCCCGGCGCTGCCGGTGCCGGTACCG